TTGGAAAAAAAATTATGTTTATATATATTTTTTTAGATATGAGTGTTTGAAAATTTAGTAAAATTTCAGTAAGATTAGGTTTTAAGAATTTTATTATTTTATTATTTTTTACTTTTCCATTTTTATTAAAAGTCACTGAAGGCATTGCGCAAGAATTTGCTTTAAAATTATCCAGAGATCTTTTTAGTAAAAATCAAACATTTTTCATGCGATAGACTAAAGTCATGCCTGATATCATATGGGTTTTAATTAATTTATATAGATGCAATCATTTTCAAGAAGAATTAAATTCAAGAATTTAATAAAGTCAGATGAAAGTATCGTTGCACCAGACACAGGAGAAATTGCCTGAAAGAATTAATAGCGTCAAATACGTTGAAATTAATTCCTCAAATAGAAAGTAGAAAGTCACATTTAGATTTTCTGATTAAGACTTTTATAAAGTCTATCTTCAAGTCTTTCTTTGCCCAAAACAAAAAGGTTTATCTTCAAGTATATTTATTCCCAACTGCATATACTACGCGGTTTTCAACTGAATGTGTCAAAATATATATAATCTTATAAATTTTTTCAAAAAAAGTAATAATTTTTTTTTTTTTAATTTTACTAATATTTATACTTTTTTGTTCTTATAAAACAACAATATATTTCAATATTAACAAGTACTAGTAGTTAATTTTTGCTCCTGGAATTATACCCAACCTAGGCCGCCAGTAATTGTTGAATTTTATTTTGCCAAAATATATAGTAAAACAAAAAAGAAATCTACATGAAAGTCGGAGGTTTTATTTTGTAGGCTCAAACTTTTACCTTAAAAATAAGAAATCTAGAAATGGTTGAAAATAATAGGAAGCATATCGTCCAAGCAATGGTACTTCCATGGGAACAACCAACCTCCACATGAAAATATTAATATGGGGGACTTTGTCTCTGTCTATGACAAATTTCTCTTTTGGCTTGTCCATGATAAGATAAAATTACTCCCATCACTTTTCTTGCCTAAACTTTTTCAACTTAATTTGATTATTTATATTTTAAATATTAAACTACTTTTTTTTATAAAGGTATGTTTGAAAACCTTTTCATTTAAAGTGGTTAGATTTTTTTTTATGTTTTAATTAATAATATATTTAAAATAAAATAAAATCATAATATTTATGAGATAGAGAGATAAATTAAATGGGAATTTTTTTGAAATTTCTAATACATCCTTAAACTCTCATATCGTTATATTAACCTAGCTGAAAAGGATATTAATTTCATGCTCACACTGTTAAGCATCAGCTCTAATATCAAATCAACAAATCTAAAGAGTCGTAAACATTAAATGGGAAATAAATGGACATGTAACAAACATTTTAACCTCACTTATATAACAATAATTCTAAAACAAATGAGTCCGTAGGTTTTCCCTCATCGATTGTTTTAATGTGAATTGAGATTAGTGATTATATGACCTTCATTATTAATTTGAAAATTTTAAATTAATTTCGATTTGTAATTAAGATCGTACAAAAAGTAAAAGAAACTTCATTTTATTGTGGAAGAATGCTTAAGGGAGTTTTCCCATGGAGCTTTTACCCTTTCTGTAATGCCATTTGGAATCCCCTGGAATGTAGATTTTTCAATCACAATTTAGGCAAATTGTCATCTTATTGGCATAATAAATGTTTTTCACGATGGCAGACGTAAATAGCATAAAACTATTTATTTATTTATTTATTTTTGACGGTTGAAAAAGTTAAGAGTCACTAAATTCGATTTCTATTCACATTCTTTTTCTGCGAAAAAGCCAATGGGAAATTTTTTTTTTTTCATTACCAATTTGATCAGATTATAAAAGTCAGCAATTTTAGTTGAGTGCGTCAAATCCCCCAATGCCATCATTGCTTATGATGAAGGTTTTCATGAGGAAGTGATGACATATAGATCAACATGTTATATTGACTGCCATCCCTTTTCGAAACTCATTCCGCGTTTGAAGAAACTTCATTCCAAATGCATTGTTGCGGCTCAAAGCATCCGTTCTGGTTATGTAAATCTATAAATAGGGGAGCTCTTCATAAACTCTGCACAAAACCATCAGTTTCGAAAATCATCACTTTCAAAGATATGAAATCTCTTCACTTTCAATGTCTTCAACATTTCTTTTTGTTGCTCTCTTCTCATTGTTATGGGCAACTTCAGCTCATGCTTGTGGACTTTTCTTGATTGCCTTTCTCTTCATTCCAACGACTTCCTCTTCCATTTCTAAAGTTATCTTCACACAAAATAATTCTTCCTATTCTTCTGTTTTGAACGCCACCGTTTTCGAATTTCAGATTCACTACACCATCTACCCCTAAACCTTTGGTCATTTGTAACACCGCTCCATGCTTCCCATATTCAAGCAACAATTTATTGTTCAAGAAACATGGGCTCCAAATTAGAACTCGAAGCGGTGGCCATGATTTTGAAGGTCTTTCTTATGTATCTGAAGTCCCGTTGTCATCGTTGATATGGTTAATCTACGATCAGTTGACATTGATGTAAAACAAAGTTGCATGGGTTCAATCAGGTGCGGTTCTAGGAGAACTGTATTACAACATTGCTAATAAAAGCAACACTCTTGCCTTTCCAGCTGGTCTTTGCCCCACTGTTGGAATTGGAGGGTACTTGAGCGGAGGAGGTTATGGCTTATTATTCCGCAAATACGGTCTTGCAATAGATAATGTAATTGACGCACAACTTATTGATGTTGACGGGAGAGTTCTTGACAGGAAATCCATGGGAGAAGATCTGTTTTGGGCCATTCGAGGTGGTGGTGGGGGTAGCTTTGGAATTGTGGTTGCATGGAAAGTACAGTTGGTTTCGGTTCCACCAACTGTGACTGTATTCACAATCAACAAGACCTTGGAACAAAATGCGACCAAGCTTGTTCATCGTTGGCAATCCGTTGCTCCCAAACTTCCAGATGAATTTTACTCCGGAATTACACTAACAAGGGTGAATTCTAGTGAAGATGGGAAGAGAACAATTCTAGCTTCCTTTCATGCCTCGTTTCTTGGTGGGATTGATGAGCTGGTTCCATTGATGCAAGAGAGATTTCCTGAACTGGACTAGTGAGGGAAGACTGCATTGAAATGAGTTGGATTGAATCTATTCTCTACATGGGCAACCTTCAAATGAAACCTTGAATATTTTACTTGATAGGACATACCAAAGTCCTCTTCTTAGCCCTTCCTTCAAATCAAAATCTGATTATGTGAGGAAACCCATTCCTGAAATTGGATTTCAGGGGATGTGGTCAAGACTTTTTGAAGAAGAAGGAGCATCGGCTAGTATAAGTTTTATTGCTTACGGAGGTATAATGGATGAAATTCCATCGACTGCTACTCCATTCCCACATAGAGCTGGCAACTTGTACAAAATCGTATACAACGCAGGATGGCAAGAAGAAGAGAATATAATATCTGAAAGGTATATAAGCTGGATTAAGAGACTTTATAGTTATATGGGCTCCTTTGTTTCAAAATCTCCAAGGCAAGCCTATATCAATTATAGGGATCTTGACATCGGAATGAATAATGAAGGAAACACAAGTTTCGCTCAAGCAAGTGTATGGGGTCGTAAGTATTTCTTGAACAACTTTGACAGGTTGGTTCGTGTGAAGACCAATGTTGATCCACAGAATTTTTTCAGGCATGAGCAAAGTATTCCTCCTCTTTTTCATTAATTAAAAAAAATATTAGAATAACCTTTGAGAGTTAAACCTTTTATAAAAATATTTAATTGGAAATTGTGTAAAAAAAATAAAGAATTTATTAGGTTTTTTTAGGCATTTGGGCATGATTCGTTGTATTACTACTTAAATAAATGTACGGCTAATTACCTTTGTTTTGTAATTAGTTCTAGATCATATATATTTATTGAATTTGTCTTCTCAAATTTGTATGCAAATTAATAATATAAAAGTGTAATATAGAAATAAATTTTCTCCTTGGTACGTTAGAAGAATTTCATTGGATTTTTTTTTATGATAAAAAAAGATCATTGAATTTTAGACTATACAATAAGAGTACGACTTCATTTGAATTTAAATGTTACCTCGGTACAGTGTGGTTTATACTATTTTGGTGGAATGGTACCATTTGAAACCGTTTGGACAAAATTGGTGCAGTGCCCAACGTTCCGAATCAATAGTTTTAGATTAAAGGAACAAAGTTTTATGAGTCACTACACTAGATTAATTTCTACAAAAACACTCCATTGACGCTTCAAAAAGCAGAGGTTGTGCTTGTAATGCTTACAAATCCATTTATCCAGAAAAACAAAAATTCACAAACCCAATACCCTCTTTAATCTCGGATTAAGCTGCCTGCACTAGCTCACTTGCCTATTTTATTGAGAAGTTATGGCTGCCTAAGTGTTAAATCATTTGCAGAGAGATACGTACTGTTCAGCTAAGGTTCTTATACGATGAAATATTTTGCAGATAAAAGATTATGAGGAATATGAATTTCTAGACCCATTTTCGATCACTTGAACAAAAGGTTTATGTGCAACTGATACTTATGTTCTAGATTATCAATTCTTTGCGCAGAACATTTCTGGTAAGAGTGTTGTCCCTCCCTGTTAATTAATATATGTAGTTTACTAATAATGACTGCAAGAACATGAAGAAAATGAGGCAAAAGAGAAGATGGATTGGGTTATGGGTTGAAAAGATGAACAACATTTCAGGCAAAGACGAGACTTTGAGTGAACACAGGTGCACAAGCCTGTCTCACCGGCACACGCAAACAAGGTTGTTTGACCAATGACATGCAAAGAGCATGAGACATTTGGTTCCCTTGTGGACAGAATTATAACTATACAACGAGTGATAATTCTCAACAATGTAAAAATTTGGAGGCTTTTAGCAGTAATTCGCCTGCTAGACGACTTCCAATTCCGTTTATCACAAAAATATATGTTATTTTTATAGGGCTAAAAATGGCCAGGAGATGGGTGCAAAAGAATTTAGTAGAATCTGATTCTTTGTTGACAGTGAAAAAAATTTCACAATCACTGCCTCTATCAGATATTAATGGTTGTAAACAACTTCAATTAGCTTACGAGGATACTTCTTCTACTTCCTTATATAAAGGAATCTGTAGCTGATATTTTATTATAAATAGTTATCCTCTCTTTATGAAAAAAAAAAAAAATTGAAGCTAAAATACCTTAACTATTAAGATGAATCGAGAAGTCATTCCCACTCAATAATGTCTCTAAATTCAGTCCTGCGGCATTTATAATCCTAATTTACAGATAAGCAGCATACAAACTGTACCCA